AATAACCTCCAACGATAATTCCATTGTTAATTCTATAAATTTTATAATCTTCTGTTGTGAATCCAGGTTTGTAATTCACCGGAATTTGTTGAATTCCGACTAACTCTGATTTGATCTAACTCGATTGATTGTTTGTTTTGCAGAATCTAAATGACACAAAAACTTATACGAATTTCCAACAACGCGTTGGTTGGTATCAGAGATACAAATCCGTCATGGGCTTTAACCAATAAACCGGCCCAGCTTCCTCTTCTTTTCCTTCTTCTGTGCGCATGGCCCATTAAATGTTTTTTAGGCCCAGTTTTGCTCTGTCTTAAGTCAATCTCAACATCTTCAAAATTTTAGTTTTCCAACTAATTAGCTCAATATATAAAGTATAGTTTAGTGACCAATTATTTTTCGAATTCAATCAAATACGTGTTACTGAAAAACTCTTAAACCTTATTTGGGCTTACAGCCCCGACCAAGGTTTTGAAAACGGGACCGGCCGGGCCGGTCCGACCATGACTCATTAGTATAACCCGTTCCGGGTTGATCTAAAAACCAGATTTGAATTAGACTGGTGAAACCGGTAGAGAACCGGTAAAAACTGGTGACCCGGTTTGATGCAAAAACCGGTTCATCAATTTTTATTCATAATTTGGATTAATTTGGACTTTTTAATATAACCTAAAACTACGTTTCTTTTTAAAGAACTATTGTAAAATTCAAATTTTGAAATTTTTAATGGTATTTAAACAATTATAGCCATTATACTATAATGTTTTTTGTTTTTTGTTTTAGCAAAAACTAATATATATTTAGTTTAAGTATAAGTATTAATATGCATTATATTTTATTTTAATTGGTGAAAACGAATAAATGGCAAAAAAATCAATTAAAAAGTGAGAAACAATGTCAAGTGTCAACTAATGAATTTAATGAAGATTTTGAAATTTCGTTTTTATGATTTATAATTTACAAATATTCTTTAAATTAAAAAATTGCATTCTTTTAAATTTGACATATATTTTTATGATAATTACTATATGATATAAGATTTTTGTAATTATGATATGGTTTATTCTTTTTAGGTTTATGTTGTCTAGTTTTTATACATATCTATATTTTAGTTATTATAATTTTTTTTTCAAAAAACCCGGTCTAACTAGTTAAATCGGTCCGATCAGTCATCTAATAACAATGACGAGTCGGTGTCCGGTCCCAAACTTTGGATGCTTGATTTTGTACCATAAACAAATTGCAATGGATATGACTGTTTTTCTCGAAACG